TGCGGTCGGTTCCAGTTTTTACGTAATAGACTCCTTTTGCCGCTGCGAATTGCTGTGAGTTGCCTCCTGTAAAGAACGGGTCTGTTTGATATCCGTGGGTAAATAGGCCGGTAAGCAGTGGGCTGGTCTGGGCGAGTAGTATCGCGTGGATCTGGGCAGTGGGGCGGGTCAGTGCGTCGGCGATATTCGATGCTCCTTTTTTGTATGTGACCGTATAGTGAAAATTCGACTCGAGGAAATCGAGCCATCGAATCTGTCGTGGGTTGAGGTGGGGCTGTGCGCGGAGGTACTGTAGAGATCGGTGGTCTGTCCGTACTGTCACGTCTGCGCCAGTCAAGTAGCAGCGCCAAACTTTGAATGCATGCACGATCGCGAGCATTTCGCGGTCGTGTATCGGGTAATTTCGCTCAGGCGGATGTAGTTTTCGTGATTCGTAGGCGATGGGTTGGAGGCCGTTGCCGAAGTCCTGTAACAGTACAGCTCCGATGGCGATGTCACTTGCGTCGGTAACCACTTCGAAAGGGCGGTGGGGATCAGCGATGCGTAGGACGGGTGGTGAACAGAGAACGTTTTTTAGGGCAGAGAAGGCAGCATGCTCTTTCTCCCCCCACGTAAAAGCGACCCCCTTACGCAGTAAATCAGTTAGTGGGGCTGTTAAACGTGCCATGTCGGGCACGAACCGTCGAACGTAATTAACAAACCCTAAAAAACTCTGCAGTTCCGTGATGTTCGTCGGGGGGCGCCACGCTTTTACCGTGTCCAGCTTCTTTGGGTCAATCTCAACCCCAGCCTCTGAAATGACGTGACCTAAAAACTCTAGCCTATCCCTAAAAAACTCGCACTTGGAGCCCTTGGTGAGCAGCCGATGTTTCTCTAAAACCTTAAAAACTGCTTCAAGATCTGCTAAGTGTTGCTGCTTATCCCGACTGTAAACGAGGATATCGTCGAGGTAAACGATCACGCATTTATCTAAAAGTGGTCTAAACGCCTCGTTCATGGTCATCTGAAAAGTCGCAGGCGCGTTCGTCAACCCGAAAGGCATTACTGTATACTCGAATGACCCGTACCTAGTCCTAAATGCTGTTTTTGCGCAGTCCGATGGTTCGACCCGAATCTGATGGTAACCTCCCCGTAAATCTATTTTCGAAAAGACACGTGCTGTTCGCAGTTGGTCAATCAGTTCGTCGGCGCGGGGGATGGGGTATCGCGATTTGACTGTTACTCGGTTAAGCGCTCGGTAGTCGATGCACATGCGAAAACCTCCGTCTTTTTTCGGTGTGAACAGTATGGGTGCGGCGAACGGTGACGAGCTTGGTCGAATAAACTGCTTCTCTAACAGGTAATCTAACTGCTTCCTTAACTCGTCGAGCTCGGGCTGTGTCAGTCGAAATTGCCGCTGTACTGTTGGCTGTGCCCCCGGTTCTAGCTCGATCCTATGGTCGTGCGCTCGCTGAGGTGGCAGTCCCTGTGGTAAATCATCCGGAAATATCCCCGGGAACCGTTTCAGTAGTGCCTGTAATTCGGTCGGTACGGCTGCTAGCAGTTTCTGTAAATCATTCTGCTGCTCGTCTTTTTCTACCACTGCGATATCCACTGCGTACACGTCAGCTCCAGCAGCGACAGCCCGTTTCATCGTGATGGCGTTGACCTGGACTGTCGAAGATTCGGGTGGCCGCCAGCGAGGTAGGACGACCCAGTTACCGCTACTTCGCACTGTGCAGCTCCCCGTCGTCCAGTCGATCCGTGGGTTGTACCGTCGCAGCCAATCACGTCCCAGTAAAATGTCGTGCCCATCCAGCGTCGTTGCGAGCATTTCCTGTGTAAACCCGAAGTTTCCCCCGCAGCGGACTTTTACTCGCTCCACTTTTTCTCGTATGGCCAATGGTGTGCCGTCGACTAAGCGTGCATCTATCTCAGGTAAACATCGGTTAAGTATTAACTGTAATCTCCGTGCGGTTGCAGTATTAACTAAGCTGTGACTTGCCCCTCCGTCAATGAAGATTTTCACTGCTGCTCCCTGTATTTTCCCGTAGATCAGTACCGGGCAATCCGTCGCTGTACCCTCCTTATTCATCCGAGCCCGATCGATGGCGTGAATCGGTACTGTGACTCGGTGAGGGTCGGTGTGGTTGGGCGAGCAGGCAGTCTCGTCAGTAGTTGGCCCAACTTCTACTGACTGCTGGCGTTTCCCTGCCTCCGAGACTCCTTCCCCTGCTCTGCTCCTCGACGCCTCAGCTCCTCTGGACATTCGCTTTTGCGATGGCCCGGCCGGTTGCAAGCAAAGCAGCGCCCTCTAAATGGCGTGGCAGCTGCATTCGTTGCGACGGCATGTACAGTGGCGTGCTCGATCGGTCCCCGAGGACGATGTCCGAAATAGGACCCCGGTCTCGGTCGGCGTAGGATATCGATTTTCTCGGCGAGCGCGAGGATTTCGTTGAAATTCGATAGCCCGCGTAGCATTATCTCGTGCGATATGTCCGGCTTCAGCCCTCCGACGTAACGGTCCACCCGCTCCGCCTCGTGCATGTAGCCGACCTGTTCGCAAAGTGCGAGAAAACCGCTGGTGTAGTCTTGAACCGACCCGAGCTGGCGCCAAGTGCGCAGTTTCTGACGCGCCGAAATCGAAGCCGCGATCGGCTCAAAACGCGCCCGAAGCCTTGCGCACCACGCATCCCACGTGCTATATTGGGCTGTTTCGCAGAACGAACTCCAGGTGACAGCTGGACCCGAGGGCCCTTCCTCGTGCGACGGTGGCTCGTAGGCGCGTGGCGACGTCACGATGACTCGCCACCAGTCCATGGCGGGGCCCCTGAGTAGTGAAACCGCATACCGAATCTTGGCGGCGTCCGACTCGACGTAGTTGGCGTCGAAAAACACATTCATCGTGAAGACCCACGATTGAACTGTCGGGCCGCCGCGTTGGCTTGGGTCGAAGCAGGGCGGGCGTTGCGGCTTGAGTGGCATTGGGGCCATCATGGTGTTTTCACCACTTGTCGTCGCAAACTACACGTGCCGACGGGCTTCTCGGGGCTCCCGTGGGCTTAGCGTGCTCCTGTTCCCTCCCATGCCGGGCATCGGTTGGGCTGCGCCGTCACTGGCTGCGCCTGAGCGCTGTCCCGTGCTGTTGTGTTGCGTTGGTGTGCCGGATGAAATGATAATCGGCTCCTCCGAATGTACAGAGACATTGGTTGGTGCGTGGGATGTTGTCGGAGCATTCACCGTTGACTGTTGACGAGCGGAGTCACGTTCCGCCGTGAGCGTCGCGATTTCAAGCGCCGAATCCTCCAATTGTCGCACGAGACGATCGAGTTGCTCCTGCGTCAACGTGGCGAGATTGAGGTCGGCCATGGCGGCGGTGTCGGGCAAGCTCAGCGAGAGCCTCGGTCGTGGCCGTGCGTGCTTGCGAGAGAGCACTACGAGCGGCGGTGCTGTGTCGCTGAGAGACGTCTACCCCCCCCAAAAATTGAGATAGTGGGAAGCGAAGGTGTGGATGCGGTCCGAGATGAGATCGTAGGCTCTGATTACCAAGTGTTACGAGTGCAATTGAGTGAACGTACGAGAATTGCACTATCGAAGCAAAGAGTACAATGAGCGAAGGCATGAGCGAAGGATTATATAGCGAAACAATAGTGGTAACGGTAATGGACTGTGGTTGTCGCGCGACGAGCCTGGGGCTGAGGTTGGGAAAATGTCGAAGCGTAGGCCCGGAGCGCGGGTTACCAGCCGAGCCGTGAGGTCGGGATGCGATGTGCGAAGAGGGCGGGATAATGAATGATGCGATGGTCGTGAGTGGTAACGGTGCTGACTGAGGTGCTACAGTGACGTACGCGTTGAGCAGGGACGCAAAGTAAGGAAAAGGGAATTTCCTTACAGTAAGCAAACATCAACAGTCGTAACTGAGATTTGACCTGATGGTTGTACTCGGTTCGTAGTAGTTTAGAAGCGAATCCGCCAGACATTCCAAGTTGGACTCCGCAATTCATGCGTACCGTCACTGGGCAACCAAGCACCAACGAAGCGGGTTTTCGGGCATTCACGGACATTCGAAGCCAGGAGAGGGAAGGGGGATAGGAGAAGGCGGAAACTTGGGGGCGGGAGGCGGAAAGTTGGAAGAGGACAACGGGGAAGACAGGAGGATGAAGGCGGAAGGATGGAGGTGGAGGCGGAACGAGGGTTTCAAACTTCCTGGCCTGCCTAGGAAAATCAAGATTTGCCTTTCTTTTGTTGGCCTTGGGAATTGTGTAACGCGAGGTTGATTTTGAATTTTGAGATGAGCTTTGCCGAGGCAATTAAAGATGCCTTCTTCATTCATTGCTCAAATGCAGGCACCGTGATCATCCACCTGCCGCGCGCAGGCATGCGTTCTCCACCTCAATGCTGCTGAAATGCTGAGCGTGGACGGGTTAGATGCTGCCGCTCTGTTTGGTATGTTTCCGTTTCGCCCAGCTCAGGAAAATGGAGCCCTTCCGCTTGTGGAAAAGGATCACGGAGAGCGAGGTCATTCCGAAGGTATAAGCCGGTTCGGGGCGGTTCAGCCGAGAGTAGAGGTGGATCGAGCGTTGCCGTCGCCGTCGCGCGAGCGTCAGCGGCGGAAGGCTCATCTTCACCCTCAACGCCAGCAGTCGCAGCCGCCTGTCTCGCAACAAGGCTCGTCGGGGCTGTCAGATCAGAACGGGCATTTACGAGCCGAACCGCAAATGTCTCCCTCTCAACCACATGCCCCTCAGCAAGCACCCGCTTTACGATCCGACCCTGTAGTGGCCCAGCTAACCCCTGTGGCCTCACCGCTCGTGTCGCAGCAGTTAGTATCGGGAGCGGATCTAGCGCGTCGGCAGCAGCTGGCGCTGCTATCGCATCACCTATTGGCGTCGGGGCTGGCCAACGGTCGTTTGGCTGTCAACCACGCTTGGCCGTGTCACCCTCGTTCAGCGACTCAAGCGTCTCAAACGGCTCACACGGCCCAGATTACACTTACAAATCAAACGACTGACGTGTCTCAGATGATTAACGCGACTCAGTTGATTCACGCGACTCAGACGGCTCAGGCAGGCGTCACAGGGACGGATGATAGCAGTCGATTAGATCCCTGCGGGCCCTCGGGGCTGAAGCCCTCGCTTGTGGCGAATGCGATTCCTTCGACCGCGAGGCAGGGGGTAGGGTTGGCAGCGGAGGGGCCATTGCTGGATGGGAAAACCGCTCTTTTTCTTCCTTCCGGCCGTCAGCCGCCCTCCCCTCTACTGCTCCCGCCATCCCCCATGCTGCGGCAGCAGCAAGCAATTCAACCGCTGCCCGCCGCACAGAACGAGCAGCCACTGGTGCCTCGATCAGCGGCGCTTTCTCGTCCATCTGCCGTCATGTCCGTGCCGTCGCATCCCTGCGTGCAGAGCGGCGCGGTCGGCGGGAGCGAGCCCACATCGCACGGCGGAGCGCACGCAACAGTTGTGCCCTCTGCACCACCGCATTGGCTCCTGTCGGATCGAGAGCTGCTTCAAGCACTTCAGCAGTAGCAGCTAAAGTGGCTGCAGCAGGCACATCAGCTGCAGCTGGTACACGAGCAGCAGGTGGCACAGCGCCCGCAGCAGCAGCAACAGGAGCCGCCGCAGCAGCCGCAGGAACAGTAGCAGCAGCAGCAGAAGGAGCCGCAGCAACAGCAGCAGCCGCAGCAGCAGCAAACGGAGCAGGAACAGAGACAGGAGGAGCAACAGCAGCAGCAGCAGCAGCAGCAGCAACAACAACGGCAACAGCAACAGCAACAGCAACAGCAGGAGCAGGATCAGCAGCAGCAACAAGAACAGAGGAAGGGGCAGGAGCAGCAGCAACAACAACATCTACAACAGCAGGAGCACGGGCAGGGGCAGGGGCAGGGGCAGGGGCAGGTGCAGGGGCAGTGGCAGTAGGAGAAGTATGATGATGAGGAGGAGCAGCAACAGCAACAGCAACAGCAACAACAGCAGCGAGAGCAACAGCAGCAGCAACAACAGCAGCAGCAGCGGCAGCAAGGTCAAGGGTTGGGCAGAGGGAAGGGGCGTGGGAAGGGTAAGGGCAAGGGCAAGGGCAAGGGCAAGGGCAATTGCGGGTGGCGGTCACCACTGGTCGTTAGGGTGAACGGTTCCCCCGCGCCAGAAAAGGCGGGCCGCCCGTCCGCGGGCAAGAAGCGCCGCCACCTTGTGGACGAGCCACCAGGGCTGTGGCTGGGTGACGGGTGTGACGTTGCCACGTGTGCGTCGGACCGGTCGGACAGTCCGTGTGGCGTGTGCGCGGCGAGCGTGCTGGTGGTGCAGGGCGACCGCGGGTGGCGCGAGGGCAGGGCGGCCGTGGAGGCGCGGGTGGTGGGCGACGAGGAGGGCGGGGCGAGCGCGCACGTGCTCGCCGTGCTGCTCCGCAGCCACGCGCGCTTTTCGTACCGTCCGGAGCAGGCGGGGGCGACGGGCAGCAGCAACCGGGTGACGGGCGCCATCATGTGGCGCCCCCCCAATGCCGACGCGGGCAGCAGCGCCGCCTCGTGGGCGCTGGAGTTTGCGGAGAGGAAGGAGTGGCGAAGGCTCCAGCAGTTGCACGACTCATGCGCCCAGCGCAACAGCCGTACCGTGTCGGTGTGCCGCATCCCCATCCCCGGCGTGCGCCTCGTGCCCTGGCGCTGGCGCCTGCGCGGCTCCTCCGCGTGCGCGGCCAGCAGCAGCGCCAGCAGCGACAGCGTGGCGGGGCCGGTGGAGGGCGCGGAGGCGGGTGAGGGGCGCGAGGCGTTCGCCCCCCCGGCGGGGTACATCCGCGGCGTGGACGAGGCGGAGCGCGTGCGGGTTGGCAGCCGCCACGTGGTGTACGACCTCGACTCCGACGACGAGCGCTTCCTCTCCTCACTCCCGCGCACCCTCCGCCGCGCAGGGTTGGAGGGACAGGCAGGAGGGGAAGGGCAGGTAGGGGGGGAGGGGCAAGGAGGGGGGGAGGGGAAGGGAGGGGGGAATGGGCAGGCAGGGGGGAATGGGCAGGCAGGGGCACAGACGGCGGGACAAAGGGTTGAGAGTGTCGTGTGTGAGGGTAGAGGGGGTGATGGGGAAGTGGAGGGGAGTGCAGTGGCAGTGAGCGAGGGGCAGGTGGAGAGGGTGATGGACCGGCTGGAAAAGGAGTCATTCGCTGCGCGCTCGTTGCTCTCTGAGGCACACGCCCTGCGCTGCTGCGCGCACCTGGCGCCGCCAGATGCCGTGCGCGCCATCTTCTACCACTAGCGCGCCAAGCGCGCCCGCAAGGGCACCACCCTCTGCCGCCACTTCCAGGTCAGCCCGCTGCCCTCCGCCCGCCGCCCTGCAGTACGCAGTCCGCACCCCTCATGTCTGCCCGCGCCCCTCATGTCTGCTCGCGCCCCTCATGTCTGCCCACGCCCCTCATGTCTGCCCGCGCCCTTCATGTCTGCCCGCACCCCTCATGTCTGCCCGCGCCCCTCATGTCTGCCCGCGCCCCTCATTTCTGCCTGCGACTTGCCCCATGCAGGCTCGTTTCTCTTGCTGCCTATCCGGCTAGTCGGCCAGGGGCCTTTTTTTTTTCCTCTTGCATGCACCCACGAGCTTGCCTTCTCATTCCACTTGTGCCCCTCCCGCCCTGTCCGGCCCCCCTCTTCCTCCCCCGTGTCATGCGACGCCCCGCCGCTGCAGCGCGCGCCATGGGAGGTGTATCAGGCGCAGGTTAATGAGTGGCAGCGGCAACTGCAGCTGCTGCAAGCCCGTGAGGCCACGCCCCTCGCTCCGTCTCCTGAGCCGTGGGCCCCGGGGCAGCCGGGAGGAGGTGCGGAGGCAACAGCGGGGCAGAGGACGGGCGAGGGAGCGGGGATGGGTGGCGTGGCGAGGCAGGGAGAGAGTGGTGTCGCGCAGCAGCAGCAGCAAGAGGAGGGAGGGGAGCAGCAGCAGGAGGGAGGAACGGGGCGTGCGGTAGCAGTGCAGCAGGGTCAGGTGTCAGCTGGTGCAGCAACCAAGCACGAGCAGCGTGATCCCCACGGCCAACACCCACCCAGCACGGCAGCACCAGGTGGCGCAGCAGCAGGTTTATCCACTCCTGCGCGCCTTCCAAGAAGCCCGGCCGCCTCCTCCTCTCCTTTCCCCTCACCCATTCCCTTCGGCACCCCCATCACCCCCATCACCCTCGGCCCTGGTAGTGCCGCGCAGCAGCGTATGCCCGCCATCCCCCGCCCGCCTCTCTTTGCCTTCTGCCTGCAGCCGCGCGCCCACGCGCGCAGGGCCGCCTTCCCCTCGCGCGCGCGCTTCACCAAGCGCGCGCCGGCCTCCGCGGAGCACGTGGCAGGCGCATAGGGTGGCGCTGCTGCGGACAGTGCGGAAGGCAGCCCCAGGGTAGGGGGCGTGGCGACGCGCGCAGAGGCGCTCCCCGTGGGCGAGGCGCAGCAGGGGGGGCGGAGAGAGGGCGTGGAGGGGCTGGTGGCGGCCAAAAGGCAGCGCCGCGTGGTGTGCCTCGCAGGTGAGCCAAACCCTCCCCCTCGCCCTTCCGCTGTGCCGCGCGCCTTCTCCCCACTCAATGCACCGCCTCAATTCCCCGCACCTCCCTCCTGCCAAACCCTTGCTCGCTCGGCTGTGCCCCCCACTGCAGACCTGGGAGGCGAGGAGGCGGAGGGCAGCAGCAAGGGCGGCTCAGCAGGCGGGGCAGCAGGGGGAGCAGCAGAGTCTTTCCCTGGTGCAGGCCATGAGGGGGTGAGTGCCCCGCATGGGGACCTATCTCTCGCGCACCCCTCGTCTGCGCGCCCCTCGCCCACAGCGTGGCCTCACCTCACCACCACCTCGCCGCGGTCGCCCGTCCCCTTTGCCTTTCGCCTGAGCCCGCGCCTCAACACTTCGGAGCCTGCACACTTGGATGCCACTCCACAGGCACTGCCGCCGGCGCAGCAGCAGGTGTACGGGGGGGGCGAGGGGGGGATGAGGCAGTTGCTGAGGCAGCAGCAGGCGAGGCATGCGAGGGGGCGGGCAGCATGGGGCTAGCTGATGGGCAGCGCGGGGGTGAGCGGGGCAGGCGGGGACGAAGCAGCAGCGCCCACGCCACCACACGGCGCTGCTGCAGGGCGCCTTGCTCTGCCCACTGCCTCCGCACCGCAGCACCAACCGCCCGGCGCTCCCGTGGTGGTTGCGGTGCTGTGTGGCGCCCCCGCTATTGCTCGCGCCCAGAGCGGCCCTCCTTCACACGCAGCTGTGGGGTATACAGGGGCCGGACAGCCGTGGGAGCATGCGAGAGGCGGCAGCGGAGGCGGCGAGGATGAGGCGCAGCAGCAGAAGAGAGGAGCGGCGGGCGTGCGGTCAGAGTTGCTGTCGCTGGCGCACGCGCGCCCACCAGGCAGTGCAACCGCGCAGGCACGTGCGGCTGCGACGGCGGCGCTCGGGGAGGGGATGGGTGCAGCGCCAAGAGATGTGAGCGCAGGGCGGTGGGCGCATTGCGCGGCGGAGGGGAGGCCGTTGGCGCTGATTGTGGGAGGTAGAGCGCAGGGGATTGCAGGCGCAGGGGGAAGGGGAAGGCGCAGGGCGCGGGCAGTGTTGGTGCTGCAGCAGACACAGCAGCACGTGGGGTGGGCAGGGCAGGTGGAGGAGGGGGCAGGCGAGGCAGGTGGCACACAAGGTCGCGGAGACAGCTCTTTGAGTGGCGCAGAGGTGCACGCAGTGGGTCACGAGGCACAGGCGCTCGCAGGCAGCAGCAGGGGGGGGAGGCGGGTGGTGGATCACAGGTTGCCTCAGGTGAGCAGACTAGCGGCGCCTGCGATGCGTGGCGGCATGGCAGCAGGTGGTGGGCGCGAGGCGGGTGCAGTGGGCGCACAGGAGCAGCTGGGATATGCTGGAACGGGTGCTGAAGATGAAGAGTGGGGCAGAGAGGTTGGGAGAGAGACGGGAGCAGAGAGGGGCGGCGCTGCTGTGATGAGTGGAGAAGCGGAAGATGGGGCGGGTGGAGGGGCGGGCAAGGGCACGGTGGTGTACCACCGCAAGCGTCAGCGGTCGTGGCGAACAGCACGCGGTGGGGGGCACGCGGGCAGCGCTGCTGCCTGGCGCCCTGGCAGGCCTAGAATGGCCGGTCTGTCCCCTGCCCGCCTGCTTCTGCCTGTGCCCCTCACAGCCTCGCCGCTCATCCCTGAGCCCCACTTGCCCTCACCTCGTCTCGCTCACCCTCCAGCCGTGCTCCCGTCTGCAGCACAGGACCCAGCATGTGCATCCTCAAATAGAGAGGCGCAGCGGCAAGGGGAGGAGGAGCAAGGGGTGGAGGAGCAAGGGGTGGAGGCGGCGAGGGCGGCGGGGAGGAGTGCAAGGGCGAGGGCAGGTGCAGCGAGGGCGAGGGCGAGCGAGCTGCAGCACGCGGCTGATGCGGCGCTGGAGCACGCCTGCCACCGCCTCGCTCTCCTCCGTGCTGCTCAAGCCGTGCCCACTGCCATGCCCTCTCCCATGCCCCCTGCCATGCCCCCTGCCATGGCTGCCATGCTCCCTGTTCCTCCCCACCACCTTGTTGATGCCGCTCGTCCACCAGCCACTCTGCCAGCCGTCACTGCAGTCCATGCATGTGCCCCACCCCCCCTAGCACCTCCTCCTGCTGCTCCTCTTGCGGCTGCGTCCGCTGCTGCTCCTGCTCCTGATGCTGCTGCTGCTTCTGCTCCTGCTGCTGCTGCTGCTGCTGCTTCTGCTCCTGCTGCTGCTGCTGCTGCCACTGCAACTGCTTCTGATGCTATTGTTGCTGTTGCTCCTGATGCTGATGCCGTTCGAGCTGCCTCTCCTGCTGCCTCTCCTGCTGCTGCTGCTTCTCCGCGTGCTGACAGTGCAGCTCCGGGTGAATGCCTGGACGGGCATCATTGCCATGGGGAAGGTAAAGCGTGTGGGGAGGGTGAAGCGGGTGGGGAGGGTGAAGAGGGTGGGGAGGGTGAAGAGGGTGGGGAGGGTGAAGAGTGTGGGGAGGATGGCGAGGGTGGGGTGAGGGGCAGTGGGGCAGGTGCTGGGGAGGGGAGTGCAGGGTTGGTGGATGGAGGGCGGCAGCATGGCAGCGAGGGTGATGCAGTGCGGAATTGTGGCAATGGGCAGGGTTGTGCTGGGGCGGGGTGTGCGGGAGGGCATGCAGCAGCTTGTGTGAGAGGCGATGGGTGCAACGAGTCAGGTCGGCCTGCCTCCCTGCCGCCTCCTCCATGTGCCGCTCATCCTGCTCCCGCTGCCCCTCCTGCCCACCCTCCTGTGCCTCCAACCGCCCAACATCCACAGCAGGCAACCCCCCCTCTCCCTCCTCCCACATCTCCTCCTCAGTCCTCCCCCTCACCACAGTAGCAGGAGCAGCAGCAGCGGGCGGGCAGCAGCCCAGTGGCGCTGAGGCCGTCGTTCCCGTCGCCCTCGTCGGTGGCCAAGAGAGCAGCCGTTACGTACCGCCGTGCTGACATCACTCTGCGCCGCGCTGATGTCACGCTGGGCGAGGAGGGGTGCGGCTTCAGCCTGCTGCCCTCGCCACACTTCCCCCTGCGGGCTGCCTCCGTCACACACAAGCCTGCTGACATCACTCTCCCGCATGCTGAGGTCACCATCTCAGAGCCCCTGAGTGGCAATGACGACAGCCCTCGCCCTGGCAGCCCAGCGCCCCCCATGCCGTCCACACTTGACTCCCTCCAACCCCCCCTCGCTGCACTCACCCCCATCCCTGCTCCACCGCTCTCTCATGAGCGCGAGGGCGAGGGTGGGCAGGGGTGTGGGGATGTGTGGAGCATGGGAGGAGGGGCGAAAGAGAGTGAAGAGAGCAGCAGGGAAGGAATGGGCTCGGCGCTGCATGCAGCAGTTGAGGTGGACGGGGTGGTGGAGGGGCGTGGCAGCATGGGTGTACACAAGCACATGGCTGGTGGCGGCAGCTGCCACGCGAGCGCTGATGCGGTGCGCATGCAAGTGGATGGGGTGCAGTGGGGTGGAGGGCCGTGGGGCAACGCATGTGAAGGAGAGGCGATGCAGGCAGCAAGTAAATCAAGTGGAGATGAGACTAGCGGGGAGGGGCGAGGCAGGCAAAGACTCAGGGAGGAGGGATGTGGGGGGAAGCTGGGTGTGCAAAGGACAGTCGAGGGGGGTGAGGGGAGAGGCGGTGGGTTGGAGGGGTGTGCGAGTGTGATGTATGTGGTGAATGGGCATGTGGAGGGAGGCGCGCACACGCGCAGGCAGCAGGTGGGGGAGGATAGGGCAGTTGCCACATGTCACACTGGGGTGGGGGAGGGGGACGCAGCACACGGGTGTGAAGGAGATGGTGGTATAGAGGGGGCAGTGAGCAGTGGAGTTTAGTGTGCAGCAGCAGGGCGAGTGGGGAGAGAAGGTGCGGATGAGGTGTGCGAGGCAATGCAGGGAGAGGAGTGTGTGCTGCAGGGTGACCCTGCGTGGAGTGGGCATGGCGGCGTGGGGACGGCGTCGGGTGACGTGGCGGAGTGTGAGCGCGGGAGCCACGCAGGCGGGGATGAGGCGGCTTGCGGGGATCGATCAGGGTCGGCAGGTGCAAGCGAGGCTGCCCGTGCGGGGCAGGGTGAAGGCGGTGAGAAGGGGGGGGCAGCTGTGATGGTGGTGGGGCCGTTGCCACTGCTGCCTGTCCCCGAGGCCCCTTTGCGTGAGCGGTGGGTGGGCTGCGGCGCACAGGGGTGGAAGGAAGCTCCCACAGCGGTGGTGCAGGGGCAGGCCCATTCAGGGGAGGTGGGGACAACAGCGGGCATGGGTGGCACAGAGGAGGGTGAGAGGCACAGCAGAGTGGGTAGTTGAGATGCCAGTTTGGTGCGCCTGCAGCTGAGCGCTTGGGTGAGAGCAGCTGAGCCTGTGCGGTTGGAGGATGGTTTGGTCAAAAAGTACCACAACAGGTTGTAGACTTCATGTAGGTGGAACCCAAGGCTCTAAAATTGTGTGGCATTCACTGACTGGTATCTGTGCCACATGATGGGACATGTCAGCCCTTCACAAGTCGCAGCCATCAACCGCTCCCAGTTGTTTTGGGGCTCATTTGTTGGCAATAATCGTGCATGTAGAATTTTTTGTTGTGAATGTACCGTAAGAGGTACCAGTATGTGTAGACAATCCTGGGTACGGACCAGGTCAATCTTAGGTGCGCAGACCAGGGATGTTAGCATGCTGTTAACGCTCATGGGATTCCTCAGATCTGGCGGCCGACGAAACCGGCGGGCGGGGCGATGCCGATCGACGTCCCGTCAGGGCTAACGTTTTAGGCTCCCTGATGGAAAGATTTTCTCCCGGTTGCAATTTGAAGGATCTTCGATTGCTCAGTCTCCAGAGGCTGCTTGCTGCCAAACAATGTTACTATATTGGGGTTAGCTTGACGGTATCAGGGTTGTGTGTACACTACCTTGATACTGAAACTTTTTTTAGTGCGGATCAGCCATACTCCGCGTGCTGGCAAACTGTACCACTCTCACACTGCCACCGTTGTCGCTTGTGACCACAGGCGGAAAATCGTATAGTGTTGTCGGCGGCACGCCATGTCGCCTTATTGGCTGTTTTACCCACTGGACTGCCAACGCACCCCTGAATCGAGCCACACCACGCCACGCCCACTGCCAGCTGAGCTGAGTTGCGCGTCAAGGACAGCTTTGTGCTACTTTATTATTACTGTAGAAGTTACTGGTAATTAAATGACAAACTAGCAGTGAAAAGAGGCTAAGTATAGAAATACCTTGCTCAAATCAGTGTACTAGTAGCGCATGTTATTGAGTTTCGGGCATAAGCGCATGTGCTTATATAATGACAAATACAAATTTATACTTCTAACGTACCAAATTGTACCTTTCATTGTTGACATTTCAACCGAGTCGAAATAACATAGTAGCGTCACAAACCAGAATCGCGCGCAAACGTTTCTGCTTCCTGCACACGAGCAAATTCGCGTCACTGTGCAGGCATGCCAGCACATCCTGACTAGACGCACAGCCAGTTAGGTCTTCATGAGTCAAACGAAACGAAATTGAGATTTGACTCGCTGCAAAAAAAAAAAAAAAAAAAATCCGTAAACGTTTTGAACAGATTTTTAAATTAAAATTGTACGTGTGCTTATAATAAGTAAAGGTTTTCTAAGGGGGGCGATTATAATTGAGGACTGGCCATAAGCGCATGGCTCCGGATAGAAGCGCCGGCACTTCTAAGATGGTATCAGATAAGTAACTCCTAGGCCTTAGCCCCGTGTCGCCCTTAAACGCCCCATTACTCTCCGTGTCGCCCTTAAACGCCCCGTTACGCGTTGCCTCCTCGCTGCCCCGAGCTGCCCTACGTTGCTCGCGCTACCTGCACTGCAGCAGAGCCCCGCATGCACGTGCAGAAGCACGCACATGCGCGCATGCACGGCATGCGCCGCGCGCAAAGCAGTCGCCGCCGCGCGGACTGAACCCGCTGCCGCGCACCGCTGCACACCCTCACCGAGCCCTGCCCTGCCCTGCCGCCCGCGCACGCAGCCTCACACACGCTGCCGCGCACGAGCAGATGCACACAGCTGCTGCTGCATGCGCACGCGCAGCTGCCCATGCACTAGGAGCCGCACATGCAGCAGCAGCAGCACTTGCACGTACCTTCAGTACGCGCCCCTGCCCGTGCTCCTTAACAGGCCACCTTGTTCCCCACCGTTCCTAAACGCTCCCGACCGCATTCTACCGCATCGAGCCCCCCAAATTGACCGCTCCCCACCGTGCTATACTGCCCTGCACTGCACCCTTACGCACTCGGCCACACCTTTACCGCTCCCCACCGCACTAGTCCTCACCCTACGGTACCTGATCACTCTCCACCGCACTAGACCGCACCCAACCTCACTCCACCGCACTCAACTGCGCTAAACCGCACTCAACCGCACTCGACCGTACCCGACCGCGGTAGACCGTACTCCACCTCACCTGTACCTACTGTCTACCACAAGCCTCTTACCCTTAGCGTCCCTAACGGCGGTTGGCAGCCGTAGTCGACTCTCCTCGTGCCGTTTAGGGTTCGTGTCTCGTTCGCTCATCCCCCAGTTCCTCTTACACATCCACCCTGGCGTCTCTTAGTCCATTCGCTCCTGCCTCCGCTCTCTCCTATCGCCTAGTATGGCATCCTCTCTGGTTTTACGTTTTGACGCCGAGGATCACCCGATCGCGTTTAGCTCGTTGCTTACCCATGCCCAACGCCACCTTAGGAGTCTACGTAAGGATAGCGCCAACCTCTTTGCTCAAGCATCTGGCACACTACAGACCCCTTCCCTAGTTCCCTGCCTACGGCGCCTCCTCCCACCGCTGATCAGCAAAGTACAATAGGCTGTTCTTGGACGTGACGTTTGGGAGTCCCGCGACGCCGCTGTATACAACGCCCTCACCGACCTTCTCCCGCCGACTAAGGCAGTCCAATTCTCCCAGTGTGCAAAGAACCTGTACAGCACTATTCTTGCTTGCTATCACACCCCTTCCTCTGCCTCCCTCGACCACCTCCTTATGCCCTTTGTATTCCCTGTCTCCAACCTTGTCACCAACCTCCGCTCTCTTGACACTAGCTTTCGTGCGACCTGCACTGAGGAACAGCTCAAGCTTGCCTCACCGCTTATGTGGCTCACCTTCCACTGGTTAGTCACTCGCCCCCCTGACCGCCTCTCCTTTGCCCGCGATGTGCTTCTCTTGAAGCACCCACTGAGCTCACCATTGATCTTCTTGAGTCTACCCTCTTTAAGATTGAGCGCAACCTCCTTGCTGTTGCCGCTGCCATTGTTGTGATGCCTCCCCGACTCTTAGATGAGTGCGTTGCACCCCAGCTTTCCATGTTCACTGCTTTTCTTGCCACACCTGCGTTGTCTAGTTCTGCGGAGAGTGTAGCCATTTCTATCGTTAGTGGACAGAAACGAGGCAAGGTAAGTAGGAGAGGGGGGAAGGTTGGTGGTGGCGGTGGTGGTGGTGGCAGTGGTGGAGGTGGTGGCGGTGCTGGTGGTGCCGCTGGTGGCGGCGGTGCTAGTGCGAATAATGAAGCCGGCACTTGAGGTGGTACGGGGCTTGCGGGCTGGATGAAAGATGTTTTTGGGCTAGTTTCTTAGTACACGGAACAGCAGTCCCAGCAGCAACAGTCACAGCAGGGACATCAGTAGCAGTAGGGACAGCAACAGCAAGGACCTAGTGGGCCAAGGCGTGCTGGACGTGGCGGTGGTCCACCCAAATGGGCGCCACGTGGTGTCACTCCTCCTCCCTGCCCTTACGTGGTTCAGACAGGCTCTCGGCAGGGTCAGCCTTGTGGCCGTCTTCACCCTCGGGGCCAGTGCTTTAATCAGCTCACAGATCGTCTGCATGCTCAGTATGGCTCTGGCCTCGTTCCGGACTGGGCCCTAATGGTTCGCTCCCGTTGGCCCAGCGTTGTTTTGAGATGATTGCAGTAAAGTTGTTTGATGCTTCGCAATCTGATTATGCGATATATACTGATGTTGCCAGCTTAGGACCTTTGCCTTTTTTTTGTCTAGGATCCTTGCCTGTTGCTAGTCTAGGTGCTGCTCCATGTACGGGTGACGCGTCGCTCTCTTTCACCCTGGACTCTGGCGCGTCTTAGTGCTTCTTCTGCGACCACGCGACTCTCACGTCGCTTCCTGCTCTGGGACCAGCAGTTGCACACAGCTCTACCACCCTCCCGTGCCCGGCTGTCCCCTCTCGCGTCCTCACAGGTCTCCACATCCCCTTGTTCTCCAAGAACTTGGTGGGTGTTGCATACCTTCAGGACCACCACGTCGGCATCTAGATTCCTCCGACTGAGCGTGACAGGACCTGCATGGACGGTGACACATACGCTCCCCTGGCCACGTTTTGCCGGGAGTCCTTCTTCGGTCTCTTCACACTGCACACTCACTCTCCCAAGGTAGTTGTGTCTGGTTAGGTGGCTGCGTCTGGTCAGGTCGCTGCGTCGTGCTCTTGTCAGTCGCTCACTTACCCAACAGTCCTGTGGCACCACCGTCTTGGTCACCCGTCACTCCCACACCTTCGTAGCATGTCTAGTCAGCATCTTGTCACAGGTCTCCTGCGCGTGTTTGCGTTGCTCCCTCCTTCGCCTACGCCGTCGTGCACACCCGGCGTAGAGGGTAGGCTGCACACCACTCCTCACTCCTCCTCCCTTTGCCCGGCCACCACAACTCTTCACTTGGACGTCTGGGGCCCTACCCCTCGACCTGGACCTGGGAGGGAGAGCTTCTTCTTGGTGGTCGTTGACAAATTTTCTCGCTACACCACCATGTCCTCCCTGCGGAAGAAGTCCGACGTGACGTCTACCCTAATCCGGTGGTTGCTCCCCAATAGTGCCACGCGTGGTAGTCGTGTCCTGCGTCTCCACTCCGACCGTGGGGTGATTTGGTTCCAACGTGCTTGCCGGGTTCTGTAGCGAGGAGGGCATTACTTAGTCCTAAATGCTTCCGGAGTCCACACAGAATGAGGTTGCTGAGCGCCGCATTGGCTTGGTCATGTAGATCGCTTGCACCTCCATGATCCATGCTCGTGCGCCTCATTTTCTGTAGGCCTACGCGGTTCGCTACGCTGCCCACAAGCTGAACCTATGGCCTCGCGTCTCACGGCCAGAGGCTTCACCGACTAGACTTTGGACTGTGTCCCATGGTGTTGCATCGGATTTCCATGTCTAGGGCTCCCTTGCGCATGTCCGCAATACCTCTGCGGACAAGCTCTCGGCTCCCCTGTGTCTTCCTTAGTTTCCCGGTGGCCTCCTCTGACTTCGAGCATTGCATGAAATGCGTAGCTATTTCAGCATGCATGCAG